AGTTCTTTCTCCAACATCAGAGCAATTTCTTTCGCCAACAATAAGAAATCATGTTTTATACATGTAATGTCAAGTATAACAACTAGCTAATATTCATACATTTCTTCACCAGCCGAGCTTATAAAGTTCATTGCTAATTTCAGCAACAAATGCTATGGTGTACATTGTTTAATGTCAATAATAATTAATATACTGTAACTGTACAATAAGATCTAACAAATGGAAATCTTACAAATATATGATCCGTAGTATAAAAACATTTACATGATCAGTCTGAGTCAGATATTGGTTGATAGTAAGGTATACATCTAGAGGTTTCCCAGTATAGACCAACATCGTATAAACTATTACTGCCATCATCAGCAATTTCCTTTTCAAACCCAATCAAACTGCCACAAGCATGGCCACCTTTCCTACCAACACTTCCATCATCACTTCCAACATCACTTCAAGCAACATCACTTCTGTTTATATCATCAGTTCTACCATCATCACTTTCACAATAATCACTTGCATTGTCATCACGTCCACTATCATCCCGATCAGCTTCATCCCAACTTCCACAGTCATCACTAGCATTTCCACCAACATCTAAAATGTTGTATACCATGTATTTAGCACTGTCATCATGTAAATTATAGCTTCAAGATGTTAAAGCTATTGCGCATTTGTTTCTCTCTTTCGAAGTTCCTTGACGATCCCCGCGCTTAAATCGTCCTTTTCTACATGCCTTTCCTTCCTTCCTTCAACCTTGGAGCAATCTTCCTTGAAAGCTCTGTTGTTCTTGCTACATTTCGCTTCTTCTTGCTTTTCTTGCTTTTGCTGCTGTTTTGCTTCTTTGACCGGGACTTCCTTTTCATAACGGAAAAAGTGTGTCTAAATGCTGAATTGCATGTTTTCTTAAGTTCTGTAAGTCTAGCGGGAAATGTAAGAAACTGAAAGTTGCTGTATTGGACATGTGTATATCAATTTGAAATTTGAAGCGGTCGAAAGCAGAGTTAAGGCAAGAAAAAGTCAATATCGTATCACTTGACATATCAAAGTCGCTAGTCCCTGATAATGGTCATCTTTCTGATTATGACAAAGATACAGTGTAGTAACGACCAAGATCCTGGTGATGACCATGTTGTCGTGCAGGAAATTAGAAGTGATGAGGATGATATTGATTCCGACGACGATGACGGACAATTTGTGAAGGCGATGCAAGAGAAAAGGAGGGGAACGTTTCCAACCTTTTGCAGACCACAAGATCTGGTAAAGTTAGCCGGACACGGAAGGGACGAGCCAGTGCTCTAGATTATTGTTTAACTCACCTTCACCTATTCCTTCTGCACATTGCTCATTTGCTTTTTGCTGAGGCGCGGTATGCCCAGACTCTCCCACGGCAATGTCCTATTCATTCCTATTATAAATGTTATTATTGAAATTACGAACCATCAATGTTGTTCCTGTTCTATTCAAATGAATGTCACTGGGATTCAGGTGACTTGCTGTGATGTTTGAGTGCTCAATAAAATCCCATTTCTTCTCAAGACAAAACCGCTTCAAACATGAGTTTACATAGTTAGCTTTAATTGGTTCAGTTGCCAACGTATTATTATCTATACGGGTTATTAATTTAGCTAGATATGGCTATCGTAGTCTCCAGGAGCTTGGTCTTGATTGATTTAGCCAAAAAAATTATCTCGTCTGCACATTTAAAAGACGTTTCTCTACTTCTACCTCTAAAGCTATTTGTACCAACGTGTCGGGCTTTTTGCGTAGAATTGGCTTAATATGATCTTTCATCCAGAAAATGGAGATACCTGAACTTTAGATTTTCTGGTAGACATCTTGTAGCCATGCATGTAAATGTTTTCTCAGCGAATCTCCCGCAATAGACATTTCCCCGTCAATTGTAGCCTGTCTTTTGGCTACACATTATTAAACGGATGTGTTCACAAATCTTGAGGGCGTGGCTTCTGCTCGGTTTTGCACAAAACTGTGCAGTGATAAAGAATTCTTAAAATTAGGTATGTAATTGATGGAGCCCTGAACTAGAGATGACAGACTTTAATACAGGCGTCAAACTTCTACAAATATTAAGATACTATAGTATACAACATGCCACTGTTGCTGGAGTGCGTTTCATATGGAAAATAAGTTGTCAATTTCTCTTTTGAATTGACTGAGAGAGCATATTGCTCGTACACTTTGAGATAATTCATTCCACAACACTGCCAGTTTGTAACTAAAACTTCGTTTACCATATAGTTCAGTTATAGATATACAGTATGTGACGTCATAATGTGCGAAGAACAAAAAAGTAGCTCACAAGCAGTCGAGGCTGGGGGGCACCAGAAGAGACAGCGGGCGAAGTGGGACCAACTGCTCTCCAAGCCCGTAGCTGACTCTCAATTTCTGGGGGCACTGCTGAAAAATTTAGCTGATGGTATAATTTTGTGCTAGTTTCCATTCACAGCACTGCAGAAATTGGTGAAAATACTTTTTCTAGACCGTGAAGAATATTAGATTTGCCTTTTATTACTTAATTAAACTTAACTAATTTAAAGTAAAAACATAGAAAATAAAAAATTCCTTATTCCAATTTCCTTATCGAAGACTAAATTCAATAAAATTACGTTAAATTCCATGATGCTTCCAATTATTTTTTCCTTTGATTATCCGCATATCTCAAGCAAATTTCCGAAAATTGTTTCTCATGCACTATATTAAAGAGTGGGAGCCACAAAAAATAATCTGATTGATAGTTAATACAAAAAAAGCATAGCCGTTTTAATGTAAACCATGGTCAATTGTAGCTTCAGTAAAAATTATTAAAATCAGAAGAACAAGTTTTGTGGGTGGAGATTAGGGTTAGGGTTAGAAGTTAGGGTTAGAAGTTAGGGTTATCGTTATGGTTAGGGCTGAACATGTTCTGCGAATTTATCATCGTGATATATTCGGACGTATTTAACTATTTACTCGTAGTAAATTCAAAGTCGTTCCGAGCGTAAGCCCTGGGCGAGGGTACTAATTCCGCTCGGCTATTTTCACCCGGAGAAAGGAAAGCATTAGCGAAGTTTGAAGTTCATCAAATATCGCGAGAGTCTGGCAATGAATCAAGTGTGGACCTCCCACTGATCTCAAAAATATGGTGGATTGTGATGGAAATGGCAAACGCTGATTGGTCAAATTTAAATTTGGCTTTATGATGACTGCATCACGACAGCATAATAACCATAGATATCTTATATACACTAGATGGTAGCGCATCTCTTTTCGTAAAATTGAAGCCAAAAATGTTCCAGCGGTTACCCCCATTTGAATAGATGGCGGCCATGTTGGTCGTTCCCGCTTGCTTATAAACGCTTAAAAAACAACAATAACTTTCATCATTTGAATAGTTTAAAAACGTATTTACAATAGGATTAACTTAATGTTTAAGTTCCCTGTTTAAGAAATAGAAAACATACGAATCTTTTCATTTGATGGGAACGACCTGAGACTGCAATCACGGCTTCAATTTTGTGAATTGCAGAATAATTAGATGCACTATCTAGTGTACATAAGATATTTATGATAATAACAGACACTTTTGAAAATTAATATATCTGCTTTTTAAAAGATTTTGCAAAGCATGTATTTCTAGTCTAATTTTAATCTGACAATAATCCGAACTTTGTGACCTTCTCTTTTTTTTAAACTCTCACCGCCGACTTCACCTACCTACCCACCTACGTTACATATATAACGAAACGTCAACCGGGCCGTGGGTACTAATTCCGCTCGGTTATTTTCACCCGGAGAAAGGAAAGCATTAGCGAAGTTTGAAGTTCATCAAATATCGTGAGAGTCTGGCGATGATTCAAGGGTGGACTTCCCACTGATCTAAAAAATATGGTGGATTGTGATGGAAATGGCAAACGCTGATTGGTCAAATTTAAATTTGACTTTATGATAACTGCATCACGACAGTATAATAACAGACACTTTTGAAAATTAATGTATCTGCTTTATAAAAGATTTTGCAAAGTTTTTTCAGTCTTTTTATACGGTTTCTTCTGAGAAAAAAATTAAAAAAAAACATTAAACAAGGCAAGAAGTTTCTGCATGCATGTATTTCTAGTCTAATTTTAATCTGACACTAATCCGAACTTTGTGACTTCTCTTTTCTTTAAACTCCCACCCCCGGCTCCACCTACCTACCTACCTACCTACCTACCTACCTACCTACGTTACATATATAACGAAACGTGATGTCTAATGCTAGTAGTTTTTGGTTAGGTAAATGCGCAGATCACAACCAAATTACGTTTTATCCGAGTTTTCCCTAGATAGATGATTATCATCTATTTGTGCACTTTTGACAAATGATGCTATTCATCTATTCATCCCGGAGACTGCGCTGAACATTGACAACACTGCACTCTCCGATCAATACCATATTTGTGCAGTAACTGATTGAAACTTCGGAAATAAATCACAGTTTTATGTCTATGGTGCAATGACCGAATATATGTATGGTGACAAATAAAATTATGATATAACTGCCAATGCACTTGGAATCGGTCGCGTTGTATTCCACCATATATAAAACTTGCTGACATCTTATCTCCAGTTTAGGTCTGGTTGACCTGGGTCAAAACGTTTCATGGACTTGACCCATATGGCTCCGGCAATCTCATATACTGCAAATACAGTCAGTGTTTGAAATGTAGCATGCCTTGCGCGAAGAAGTGAGAGATTAAGAGAAAATGGGTGCATGAAAAGCAACCCCAACATTACGAAGGGGAAGATTTTAGAGGAACCAGCTGAATAAATGTTATCCAAGCTCAAAATTTGTGAACCCCTAACTTGTTTGACTTATCCTGTACTGTTGTCTTTCAACATGAAACAAGCAAAATCCCTTTCACCCACACCCACCTTCTTGAACAATGCATTAATATACATCTCAATGCATCAGTGGAATGAAAATCTACAGGTCACTCAATTTGTAGAATACACTGAGTTATTATTACCTTTGTAGAAGCACAATTTTGTCTGCATATTCATCTTCTCCTTATTGTATTGTTTCTCTGTTTCACAGCATGGTGTATCAATATCTTTTCCTTGTGTATTCACGCATCTCTTATTCCAGTCTTTCACGTCCTGCTTGAGTTCTTTCAGGCGCTCATCGCAAAACGAGATGTCTTCATTACACATGACCAGACTTGCACCAAAATATATCAAGATAAGAAATGCAACAGTGATTTTTGTCGCAACAAAAATCAATTTTCTTATCTCTCGGTAATTCGCTCGTTCGAATGTGAGCATCATCTGTATAAATTAGAGTTTAAAGTTATCACAAAAATATTCATTTTTATACCCATTGACTTTTCCTCATATTATGGTGTGGGCGAAAATATGGAGCAGACGCGCAAATAACGACATAGCTGAAACAACTTCGTGCAGAGTACGTGTGATCGACAAGATTTTGGAAGGCATGAATCAAAGTGTGACGTCAACCTTCGAACTAAAACCAAATTAATGTATTACAGGATCGCGGCATAAGCTTTCTACAATAGACCACTTCCATAATGCAGTTTGGTTTGAAGATTCTTTTATGTACATGTTAACAAATTTGCTCGAATTTGTGACCCTTTTCCCTTTCCCAGGCGCTCTGAAATCGATTATGTTAATCCGCGCAGACAACGCTAAAGCCTCGCAATTCATAACAGCAACAGAGCGTCTAGGTCGGAAGCAGATGGTGACCGGAAATAAATAGAATTTATGAATCTGAACGAGACTA